TAAAAAATAAAAAAGCAGAAAAAAGCAACGACTCGAGCAAAGAAAAGAAAATATAGAGAGAAGCACAAAAAAGCAAAGCCGGATAACCCTTGCTGGGGATCGTGGGTTGCTATCTATCGCCCCGTGAGCAGCCACACGAGTTAACTTACTCCTTTGCCCAATACTCTTGTGGCCCCTTGGGTTTTTTGCAGAAGAAGAGAAGTTGAAGACGAAGAAGAAGCAACAGAAGCAGAGGCAGAGGCCCCACTGGGCGATATTTTTTTTTTGGCTTCCTCCATCAAACAAATATCTAAAGAGGAGCCCTTTCGTCTGTCCGCTGCGTCTGCTTATTCCTCCTCTGCCTGCTACATCCACCGCCCTAACACCCCCCCCCCTCCCTCCCTCCTCCCTCTCTCCCTCCCTTGTCTATCCTTTTTCCGCTGTACCTTTGCTTCTTCCTCGTCTTCTTGTCCGGCAGGCATAAAGAGAGATATATATCAAAGGCCTTCTTCCCTCGGATCTGCTTCGGATCTTCTCTTGGTCACCAGAAACAATCGTCGATCTATAACGGACATAGCTCGACGGCCCAAGGACCCTTTTGATACTGCTGCCACCAGACCTCCCTATCTATCCTAAGAACCAATTCGAGCGCCAGTCACACCAGAAGAAGACCTGGCTGTCTCTTCTCCCATCTCTACCTATCCTTTCAATCAAGCAGATTTGCGCACCCGCGCCCTCAACACCTTTCTCAATGACTATGGTTCTGGAGCATGGGCATCGCCAGTATGGCGGTATGGGGTATGACAGCGGCGTGTACCAAAACCACGTCCAGTCCAATCCTCCGCAGTTCAACGATGCTTGGTCGGCGCAACCGTCTTCTCATCCTCCTGCCCCTGCATACCCTTCCTCCATCCCTCCTGCGAACCCGATCAAGCGCGAGGAGGTCCAGAGGCCGCTCCCGCCGGCCCTCTCCATGCCGTACTCCAGCGTGCCCGTCTCAGCTCCCTCGATGGTCCCAAACGGGAGCTATCCTGCAGTTACATATGGCGGTTCAGAGATGCTTGTGATGCCTCAGGAGATGCCGAGAACATCGTTGGAGCAGCAGCCGTCCTCGACCACGACCTCGCCCATACATCAGTTCCCGACTGCTTCATACGGGTCGATAGAGTACGCACACTCTCTGCAGCAGCAGCAGCAACAGCAACAACAACAGCAGCAACAGCAACAGCAGCAGCAAGCTCACCATCAAGATCACCATCAGCCACCACACCATCCACATCACCCCGAAAGCAGACCACTGCACCCAGGGTAAGTCCTTTTCTAAGTCCGTCCATGCATGGAATGGAAAAAGGGCCACCAAGAAATATAAAGAGAATAGAACACCCTAGGTCGGGACGTTGGTTGTGTTAACAAACTCATGTATAGATCTCAACCACACACACAAGGCCCGCCATCAAGCACTTTTGGTGATGCACTGGATGCGAGCCGCGGAATGGTTGCTTTAAGCCAGGACCTCACTCCCAGAGGAATCTACCCACCACGGGCATCCAGGGGGTCGGCAGACTCGTACGGGTTCCCGTCAGCCCACTCTTCGGCATCTTCAATCTCCTCGGGGAACAACTACCCATACTACAGTGCATCGGTAGTGTCAGTCGATTCGTCCGTGACAGACTACAGCTCGACAACATCAGAATCATACGATGGACTTGCTTCCCGGACTCTACCAAGACCGTCCGGTCTCATGGGCGCCATGCCCCCAGGACCACAGTCGATGATGGGCCAGTTCAGCTCCAAGGTGCCAGCAAACACCCAGAAGAAGCACAAGTGCAAGATCTGCGATAAGCGATTCACTCGGCCATCTTCACTCCAGACGCATATGTACAGCCATACCGGTGAAAAGCGTAAGTCCGCTCCTTTCTTAAGCTAACCCCGGTAAACAATAAGCGAGCCCAGAGTCGCTAACGACGCAATAGCATATGCCTGTGATGTTGAGGGCTGCGGTCGTCATTTCTCCGTCGTTTCTAACCTGCGACGTCACAAGAAGGTGCATAAGGGCGAGAAGGACTCTGGCTCCCCTGAAGAGGAGGAGTAGTCGAAACGGCATCGGGCAGCCAGCCGCAATGCATTACCGACCATTATTCGACCAATTATCATACGTCAGCACCTTCATGTTTCCGGATTACTCAGCTTGCCTCCTTAACCTCCTCTTCCGTTCCTCCGTTATGGTCTGGTCCATCCTAGACATCCTCTCTGCTCATTCACAGTTAATGAGCACAGATCCCTGTTTCACGACGCTCGATCAATATACCCACGGCTTTTTTTTTTTTTTCACCTTGACCCTACGACCACGCTTCATCCTCTTTACTCTATATCTTGGCTGAACTTCAACACCTTCGAGATCATTCTGATACCTTGTATACTAGGTTCCAGCTTCGTTGTCCATCTTTTTCCGTTCCTCCTTTTTGCAAATTCCTCGCTCTCGGCACCCCTGGTAAACAACTCTTATCTGATACCCATTCGACAGGAGCATCTTCTTTACTTCTGTGTCATCACCATCATCATCATCATCAATATTTTTTTTCATGCCTTTCTTTTCTTCCCTCATCTACCCCACGGCGGTGCACTGAATTATACATACGGGGCAATAGGGGCGCGATCCTCAATCCGGTAGGGGGTATTCAGGCTGCTTTATCATAAATCGGCACTCCGAGTTGAACGCTATCTGTTTGTTTCCTCTCTGTCCATTTTCTCTTTTTCCTCTTTTTTCCCCATTCGTGATCTGTGATAGAAGGAGTTGTCTCTTTTCCTCTTACGATTTCATCCTGTCTTTACCTGCTTTTGAGGCTTCATTATTTTTCCCTATTTTTTTTTATCTCATTTTTCTTTTCATTTTTTGTTAACCCTGGGATCTTCGGTTTTTCTTTTTCCTTTTTTCTCCTACTCTCTGATACTTCCACGATGAATTCATATACCCTGCCTTTCGTCGAGTTTACCTTCTATTCTACCCTTTTACACTTGTTTGGCCTGCGCTAGAACGGAGCGTCATGTGCATTTTCCCCTCATGTCTATCAGTATCGCTCCGTACAGTTAAGATGCCTTGGGTATCTTGTTGGATTCGGCTATCTAGCATTTAATGAACAACTACGTTATGCACAATCTCCCTTTTAATATCTCTTGGTCTGCCATCGCTTTTCTCACTGCTAAACACGGGATACGGTCCATGGTAGGTCAGCCTTCCTGATCCCCGTCCTTCATCGTTACTGACTCACCTCTTAGAAATCTTCTTGGATGGCTAGGTATGCCACACTGCCAAGCGAAACCTCCCTTGGAAGTCATTATATGCCAGCCACGCCATAGTATTCTCAGCACTCGGTCGAGTCTTGCAAGCATCCAGCCAACAGTCATCCCATCATATAGCCTTCCTCCCTCAGCCTGCTGACCATGTTGATATCATCACTGATATTATTGCCATAGACAGTAATTACGTCTCCAGACAATGTTTCATTGACCTTGTCTGAATCCGCCGAACCTACACCAGGTATCAATTACACGTTCGAAAAGGCGAAAGGCCAAGCGCCATGGACATAGCAATCCCGGACGAGACCTGTCTCTCTCTCTCTCTCTCTCTCTTCTTTTTGTGCCCTCCTACCATCTTGTCTGTGCCGTCCTGTCAAAGTTGCAAATAGGAAGGGAGTCAGATATATCATTCCATTATTGCGTTTCTACGCAAGGATCCCGCCTGCAAGCATCGCCCTTCAGACGGCTGACGGGCCGCAACGTCAAAAACACGAATGCCCACTCGACAACCAGCCACACCAATAGATAAACGAGATAACCAGCCCGCGAAACGCAATCAAAAAAGAAAAACCAGCAACCCTCCCCAAGGCGTTTCGATTCAGGCGACACTCGACCACGAGCAACACAAGCAAAAACAATAATAAATTTATACAGCAACCTGATAGAGCTCGACAGCCCACAAGCGAACCATCCTGCTTAGTCATCACCCGTGCTCGGGAATCGGCAAAACGCGCCAAACCGAAAAGCCGAACCGCGAAAAAAAAAGGCATCGACTTTCCCCTTTCGGGCCACTTGAGACCCGGCGGGTAATTTAAGGGGCTTCGAGGGCCTCTTTGCGGGCTCTGGTTACAGTGACAGATCCAGCGGCAGGCCCAGCACGCATAGTGTTCCCGTAGCGGTCGGTTCGATGAGACCATGCATGTTCTGATCATGCGATCGCTCATTTACTGCCGCCGTGGAAGGACGCCGCCCCATTGACGGCATCCCCATCGACCGTGCTCGGCTATGATTGATGGAGATC